TGGGGGCTGCTCCCTGGCCCCTTTCACTTTGGAAATGTTACTGTCACCCCCCACCACCACCCCCTAGCCCCATCCTCTGTCTCAGCAAAGGACAACCCTGAGTTGAAGAGGACAATGCCAGTCCCGGTGCTGTGTTGGTCCATCACTTCCTGGCGTTGGCGTAGTTGGCGCTGAACCAGGCACAGGTCTCCTTCACAGCTGAAGAGGGAGAAGAGGGGATGGGTTTTGGGACTGGGAATGCAGTTGGTTCATAGAATCATCAAATGGTTTGGGTTGGAAGGGACCTTTCCAGGTCATCTAGTCCAAGCAGGGACATCTTCAACTAGACCAGGTTCCTCAAAGCCCCATCCCACCCAACCTTGAATATTTCCAGGGATGAGGCATCTACCATCTCTCTGGGCAACTTGGTCCAGCATCTCACCACCCTCGTCATAAAGAATTTATTCCTTAAATCTAATCTGAATGTCCTCTCTTTGAGTTTGAAACCATGACCTCTTGTCCCATCACTCCAGGCCCTACTAAAAAGTCTGTCGTAATTTTTCTTATCAGCCCCCTTTAAATATTGAAAGGATGGATCACCCTGATGCCACCAAGGCTGATGGCAGTGGGTAGAACCTCCATGTTTCCTGGAACCCCATCATCTTACCTTGCCTGAAGGGAGTGAACTGGAAGCTGGGCAGGTAACGCCGTAGCTTGGCGTTGCTGGCTGTCTTCTTGAACTGTCCGTCTGCTTTGGTGGTGTCAAACTGGGGCAGGAGGGATTAAGGAAAACTGAAAGAGAGAAACCCAAGTCTTGCTGTGCCCCACCATGTCCTGGTTGGGGCAATGGGTGGGGTGCTTGAGGCACTGGGGCATGAGGGTTGCTCATGGTGCTTCTCTGGACTCTCCTGGAACCCTACAGCTGCTGGTGGAAAGTGGGGTACCCCCCCATGCTACAGCAGCCTTGGGGTCCACCCTGCAGTGAAGGATACAACAAGTTCTCCCCTGAAGTCCATGGCCTCCACGATCGCCTCTGCTGCCTCCTTGATAGAGACTTCATCTTCTTCTCCCACTGTGGAAAAGGGCATGGTCATGGCCATTCCTCCATCTTCTTGGAAAGGGGCTGGAGGCCCTTGTGGGGGGGGATGGGTGGGGCTTACCAGACAGAATGATGGGTTCCACCTCATCATATTCCCGCAGGACCCAAAGGAAGAGCCTGGCCAGGTCCTGGGGAGAAGCAGATGGCTCTTGGGGGGTGGCTGCTGTCCCCCAGCCTTCCCATCACAAGGGGACCCAACCCTGAGGATGGCCAATGCTGCCCAGGACAACCCAGGTGGGCTCAGGCCCCAGGTGCTGGCCCCCCCAGCCCCATACCCTCCCCTACCCAAGGCCACACATACCAGGGAGTAGATAAACTGTCTTCTGGGCTTGCCCGTGCCCCAGACAGTCAGAGCTGAGCCAGTCTCTGTGAGAGGAAGGAGAACACATCCATGAGCATCAAAGCCACCTCCACTGACCCTGACTACCCTGCAGAACCGCTCAACCCTTCCCCCCCCCCAAAAAAAAAAACCCCATAAGAAGTCCTGCCACACTCACGTTTGGCCAAGTAGACCTTGTGGATGAGCCCTGGAAGGACGTGGCCATCCTCGATGTTGAAGTTATCGTAAGGCCCAAAGACGTTGGTGGGGATGACGGCGGTGGAGGGGCAGGGAAAACAAAGTAGCCCCTGGGTGAGAGCAGGTGGGTTGTCCACCAGTTGCAGTCATCCCCCTCCAGCACAGAGCTGTCCCCAGAAGACCCTGGCCACCAGCATCTCCATCTGCTGAGTCCAGGTATCTCCCCAACTCTATTTAATTTCTGGGAACTCCAGGAAACCCCCCTTGCCCTGAAAACCAGAAGGTGCTCGCAGCCCGTAAGGAGTCCCCCGTGTCCCTTCCCGCACCTATTTTGGACGTCGATCATCCTCTTGGCGTAGGAGTAGCCGAAGTTGGAGTTGTGAGGTGGCCCGTTGTGAATCTGTGGACAAGACAGCAGGGAGTTACGGAGGGCAGGGATCCCCCGAGGCTGTACACGGGGATGGAGATGCTCACCATGCTTTCATCAATGGGGTACGTCGTCTTATCCGGGAAGATGCAGGTGGAAAGGCAGGACACCACCTTCTGTACCCCCGTCTCGTACGCCGAGTGCAGGACATTGTCATTGATGTGGACGTTCCTCCTCTGGGGATAGAGAGATTTGTCAGATCTGTGGTGTGGAGACACCCAAAAACCTGCATCCTATTGGTAATAACTCATTAATAACTCCAGAAACCAGAGGAGCTCTGGTTTGGCCCCAGGAGCAGAGCAAGCCATGTCCTCATGTCCCCATGTCCCAGCTTGGGGAGGGCAGAGAGATGCACCATCCTCAGGGACCCCAATACTGCCCGTTTGCCAGGTGCTCACCCAAAAATCGAGGTTGTAGCGGATGTTTTTGAAGAGGCCCCCAACCATGGCAGCCAGGTGGATGACGTGGCTGGGCTTGTGCTGCTCAAACAGGGCTTTGGTCTCCGCAGCGCTCCTGGGATGGGAAATTTTGGGGTTCAGTGTTGCCGACAGAGCAAACCAGGGTTTCTTTCCAAGTTAAAACCCACGCAGTCAACTCACGTCAAGTCGGCATCTCTGGAGGACACAAAGATCCAAGTCTCATCCGGTCGCCCCTCTCCATCCGCCACCACCTTCTCGATGGCTTTCCCCACCAAGCCAGTGCCACCCGTCACCAGGATGCGCTTGGCCACCGGCCCTGTCGCCTCTGTCATGGCCAAAACCCTGTGGGGAGTAAGGCGGAGCTATGATGGGGTCACTTTGGGGTGCACCCCACTATGGACCCACTCTCACCCTAGTGTGGGTGCCCACGAGCATCAGCCACCTGCCAGGCTGGTGGGATTATTTTTTGGGGGGGCTTTTAGCCGCTTCTGCAATCAAAAGGAGAGCGGAAGCTGCCAGGAGAGGCAGCAGAAACTCGTCAGCTGTAGTTACTAATTAACGAACCTGGCCGGTGGCGGTACCTGGGCTGGGGCCAGATCCTGCCACGCGGCACTGCACAGCGCTGCGCAGCCTCCGGAAAGGGAGGCTCACCCCACACCTCTTCCGAGTCCCAGGTCAGCACCCCAAAATTCCCCCTGCACCCCAGGTCTGCACCCCAGATCTCCCCCTGCACCCCAAGTCCCAGGTTTACACCCCAAGCCTCCCCTGCACCCCAAATTCCAGGTCTGCACCCCAAATGCCAGGTCTGTACTTCGTGCCTCCTTTGCATACAGAGACCTAGGTCTGCACCCCATGTCTCTGCTACACCCCAAATCCCAGGTCTGCACTCCAGACCTCCCCCTGTACCCCAAATCCCAGATTTGCACCCCACACTTCCCCTGCACCCCAAATGCCAGGTCTGCACTCCATGCCTCCTCTGCATCCAGAGTCCTAGGTCTGCACCCCATGTCTCCCCTGTACCCCAAATCCCACGTCTGTGCCCCACACCCCCAGTACCCCAAATCCCAAGTCTGCACCCCAAATGCCAGGTCTGCCCCCTAAATTTCCACTGCACTCCAAATCCCAGGTCTGTATTCCATTCCTCCTCTGCATCCAGAGTCCTAGTCCTACACCTCATGTCTCCCCTGTACCCCAAATCCCAAGTCTGCACCCCAAATCTCCCCCTGTACCCCAAATCCCAGGTGTGCACCCACGTCTGCACCCCACACCTCCCCTGCACCCCGAGTCTCAGGTCTGC